CCAGAAAGGGCGGCCAGCTGTCAGGCCTTGGAGTGGCTGAGCACTGTGCCAAGGAGGCCGGACTGTGTACCGTACGTAAGGGGGCAGGTGAGGGTTTGAGTCAGGACATGGCATGACGAGGCTGATTTGAAGACTGTAATTCCAGGGGAGAAACTCCACGTAGAGAGAGATCATTTAGGAAGCAGTTACAATGTCGCAGTAGCCTGAGTGAGAAATGGTGACAGCCTGAACAGGAGAAAGCAGCAAGGAGCCAGCGGAATTCAGTGGAGGGAAAAGCCAACATGACTAAAAGAAAATTTGCAGGGAGAAGAAAAATCGAGATGACCCTAACTTTTCTATTTTGGGTGCTTGAAAGGATAGCGTTCCCTAAGCCGAGGGAGGGAACACAGGAGCAAGAAATCCACTTATAGGTAGTAAGATGATAAATTTAGCTTGGGTCGTGTTGAGATGGAGGTGGCTCCAAGACATGTCTGCGGAGATTCTGTTACTCTGTTGCTAATAAAAGTTTGGTGCTTGGCAAAGAGATCAAAGTTATCGGTGTAGATTTGAAAGTCAGTTTAGCTCAGATGGCTGAGCCACTGAGCGAACGCAAGAAATGTTAAGCAAGTGAAAAGAGAGAAAAATATAGAACAAAACTTGTGAAATTTCTACAATTAACAAGTTGGCAGAAAGGAAGAGTTGGCAAACAGAACAAGAACCGATGAATAAGAGAGGAGCTCTCGAAAACACTTATTTACAGGCATAAGAGAAGGATTTTCTGCCTGCTGTTTCAAATGATTTTAGTTAACTTTCATGACCCTCCACTTTTCTCATCTGGTGTACATATCCCATAAGGATGAGTTTTAAAAGGTAGCAAATGTGAAAATGCTGTGGTTAAACCATCAGACATTCTGCAGGTCTTAGGTCTTAACAATTAGTGTCACAGAAGCGAAGAAAGTATAAACTTCCAAAAGGGAAGAAGGTAGTGTCAGATGCTACAGAGTTTCAGAAGACTATTTTTATTCCCGCTTGTTTGGTTTGTGATTTAAGGAAGTTAAGTCAAAGGAGTGAACCTGTTCACTCTGATCACTCAGAAGAGTGTTTCCCAAAGCGTGGGGGTGTGCCCCTGGTTGTACAGGAGACACGTTTGGATTTGACACAGGCATGAAATAGAACTGAATCACACAGTGAGAAAGTTATTCTCCTTTGGTTTCCCTTTTAATCCTGTTATATGTTAAGGGAGACAGTCTCAGTTGGGGCAAAGAAGTCTGTGACTCTTAACACTAGCTGATCTCCCTTTTCGATAAACCCACTCAGGTCATCAACATTAGCTAGCTAGAATTTAACAGCATCATTAACTTTAAGATTACTATGTTCAGTACCTTCTTATTTTGGCAGGGGATACCAGTTGCGATAGTAATATAAAATTTCCTCATTTCCTAACATAGAGTTATTTTAAACAAAAAGTTAACCAATAATAAAATGTTAAGTACATAATTGTTTAGGTGGAATGTGGATGTGGCAAAACTAAGAAAGTGGTATTCCAATGACAGACATTTGGAGAATTCAGACTTCCCAGAGCCCTTGCTCTTTCTGTTACTTAGACTGACTGCCTCAGTTCAGCCAGGCTGGAACAACGTGGGAAATTCATCCTGAGACGGCAGGAGGGGGTTGAGGGTAGATCTTGGGTTCTGGACTCCCAGATCTAGACCCTGTCTTTGTCCTAAGATGTTGCGTCAATTTTTGAAGCCACTAGACTTTTCTAGACTTTCGTGTTAGCTGTTAAAATGTGAGTGTTTGTTTTCTTTTTTAAAAAGTATTTTTATTGAAGTATAGTCAGCTTACAATGTTGTGTCAATTTCTGGTATACAGCACAATGCTTCAGTCATATAGGAACATACATACATTCATGTTCTTTTTCACCATAAGTTATCACAAGATATTGAATACAGTTCTCTGTGTGTGGGGTGGGAAGGGATAAACTGGGAGTTCGAGATTTGCAGGTACTACTGTATATAAAATAGATAAACAACAAGTTTATATTGTGTAGCACAGAGTGTTTGTTTCAAATGATTACCAGCATTCCTTCCAGCAGTCAACTCTGTAATTCTTTGAGTGATTAGTAAATATGCCTCTGCTTTCGACTGAAAGACGTTAGATCAAATGTTTCGCTTCTGTAAGCCATCGATACCACGTGTCAGTGCTCGAGACTGTTCCCAGACAAACATCCACAGCCGGGAAAACATCAACAAACCCATCCTCTAACGGCAATTCCAATCCTACTTCATTTGTGAAGGACAGTTATTTCGAGAACGAATCTCTGCTTTCGTTAGGGTGATTGATTAAAATTGAAAATGAAATTGTAAATGAAAATTTGTTTCAATTTCCTGAGCTGAATACTTTATGCCAACACTCCACTCTCTTAAGCAGTTTCTTTGCAGTCACATCTAATCAATTTATAAAGCCCGGGAATTTTGTTCCTTAGGGTAGCGACTCATAGGTAATAAGTTCTTGTACTTAAAAAGGTGTCTCTGTTGCCTCTTTACTGATACCTTCCTAGCTTTAAAATGTATTTCCCCTGAGAAAAGGGAGGGCAGGTGTGAAATATTTTCTAACTGGCTGAAAGTTCTCCTAAGTATCACTGCGAATTATGGTTCCTTTCCATTCCAAGTAACTCTTAAAAATAGAAGCACGCCACTTATTTGGAATACAACCACATGGCGACTTCCACCATCAAAAATACAGCCAAGGTCCAGACAGTAAATGAAAAATGGATATAGTGTGTGGATAGAGGGAAAAACACACACACACAGTCTTTAGGTCTGAAAAGTTTGAGTTGGTTACTACCTTTAAAAAGTTTGCACATGAACAGTTTCTTCTTTATGATTAGATAGGAAGTGTTTGTCCCTGTCATTCTTTGAGCTGTATCAGGGTCACATTTTGCTCTTATTTGCTCTAATGAGGGTGATTTTTGTACAAGCAATTTAACAATTTATGATTCTGTTTTCACATCTGAAAAAAAAGGGACAAGAATATGTAAGATCGTTCTGACCACATTAGTGTTTGTAAGTAAAACCCTCAGTGGTGCAGTAGATTACCTCGTGGGTACTCAACAAGTGTTGATCCCAACATTTTAAAAATGCTCTCCGAACAGCTGAGATTAAACATGCGCTTGATTTTGGAAGATCGTTTTTGCTGCCCTCCTGACCCTCTTTCCTTCTCCTGTTCTCTATACGATAGAGTAAATGTGATTTCCCGATTTCAGTGCTGACAGATTAGAACAGCAGTATAGAAGGTGCAAAGGACACCAGGAGGAGGAAAGACAGAGACTGAATAAAATAGAAATAATTGAAAACTCACAGGCACCCCAGGGCCACTGGGTACAGGGGCAGTCAGCCTCTTACACCTCAGGAGTCACTTAGGGCTTTCTAAGATTCCAGCAAGCTAAAAAGAAAGGGTGTTCCGAATGACAATCTTGATTTATCAAAGCTAAATTAAATTATATAGACTTTGCTTATTTTAGAAAACATACAATGCGTTTTGGAAGAATTTCATTATGAAAAGGTCAGAATCTTAAATAAATATTTTTTTGTGTGCTTTTATGGGTAAACCCTTAGCTCTCCAAAAAAACTCAGCCATGGAGAACTCAGTCTCCAGGCGCTCCATGTAAGCACGGTGTTACTGAAGTCTCTTTTGTGTATTTCCGGCAAATAAACTACAGGTCCACACATTGGATGGACGAGGTTAGGCTTGTACAGTTACTAAGTTAAAATGACTTTTATGCAGATGACTTTTTCTTTATGTTTCAAGGGAGAGCATTTGACAAACATTCCTTGTGGATTTTAGCAATAGCAACTTCCTCTCATTCTGTCCACCAGGACTCTGTGCTCGGACAGTTCACCCAGGCAGGACCCATGGCTGGCATTGTCGGGGTTGCCTTGACTCTCACGGTGTCCCCTGTAATTCTCCAGGCAAAACATTTGAATTGGGCCTGGTTTGCATATTGAAGCAAAAGCCCTTTCTAAGTTATGAGAACAGCAGAAGCTTAAGTTAGCACAAACTCAAGTGGTCACACGTTACATACTGACTTGGTACCACAATATTGAGCTAAAGGAGTTGGAACGGAGTCAGGAGTGGGCACTGCACACACACCATCGAGACAGCACGCAGAGTCCAGCACTGTCAGAGGGCAACCAGTCAAATACCAGGGCTGGCGTTTTCAAAGAACCAGATAATGCCAGCTTTATGGCCATTAATAACATTTTAGTTCTATAAACAAAGATAAGAGTGCTAAAAAATAAATTCTGCTTTGCAGTGTACTCTGATTGCCAACAGGGTTCAGAAATGAACTTTCTCACTGTGCACGTGGCGTTGCATAACAGACCGCTGATCACCCTCTGGCCCCCTCCCCAACCTTCCTTTTCCCTTTTATGGACAGTCCTTAGCTCTGCCAGAGCCGTCAGCTACCCCAGGAAGGCAAATTCTTGAGTTTCCCCTTTAAAGCTCTTTGATTGTGCCTCTGGTAGTTAACGCACCAAATGGTCTTCAGGGGCATTGCATACGCGTGCTCTGCAGCTAATCAGGGCGCCTCGGCCCACTGACTTCCTACCTCTGCGCTTTGCACGTGTTTAAGGGCTCAGCTCAGACACCAGGCCCATCGGCTTCTGGAGAGGCATGACAGAGCTCAGCTCTGATTTGGGTGTCTGCTTCAAACAGAGATTTTTCCAAAGGATTTCCTGTAGTAGATAAATCATTTCATTAGGCCAGGTTCACTTTTCAAACCAGGAAGCGGAGCGCCTGCCGTGTGGAAAAACTCAGATAAAGTTGTTATGGCTGTGTTCAGAGCACTTGTAAATACTGTTGTCAGTGTCTCTTATACAGGTTTCATCACAACTGTATTTAAACAGTGACAGGTTAATTACGTGCTTTAAAGCTATGTTTATTGATGATAGGAGAGCTGTGAAATGAGGCCTTTCCATACTGTAGTGACAAAGTCTTTTTCCCCCCAATGTCTTTCCTAGTTGATCACCCCTCACGCCATCCGTGTGCAGACCCCTCCTCGGCACATCCCTGGTGTTGTAGAGGTCACATTGTCCTACAAATCCAAACAGTTCTGCAAAGGGACACCGGGAAGATTCATTTACACAGGTAAGCACTGCTGAGGATGGTGGGGACAGCGGCCTTGGCCTTGTGGGTCTTCCCTCCCATCTCGTATACGGTGTGCACTTATTCTAAAATCTGGTTGTTGTTAAGATCCACTTCCTCTCTCCCTTTCACCCTGTGTGTGACAAAACGAGTTGCTACTATTATTATTGTTGTTACTTGAGGACTCATCTGGGTGTGTCCACGCTGAATGACAGGTCAGTCTCAGTCGTTGGTTGGCTCCCCAGAGCAGCAGCCTGAGAGATGAGAAGGGTGTGCTGGGCAAGCCGGAGTCTCTCTGGATGTTAAGCCGTCTGTGCTGGGGTTGGTTTGCTTCATGGAGCAGGGATGTGATCTAAAGCACAGCACAACTCCCTTCTAGCCTGGACATAGCACTTGTATTAAAGACAATTGGTAATTTTCATATCTAATTCTGGGTTGGTGCTGTCCTCGCCTGGAAGCTGCGTTTGGCTCCCCTCCCCTGCCCCCTGCCACCCAAAACTGCCTCAGCACACGGAGCTGCCTTGCAGTAAGAAGCCAGGGTTATGGGGTGAGTGTGAATTTCCTCCCATCAGATGGAGGGAACCAGGCAGGCTCTCTGTGGAAATACATCAAGTGCCCTTCAAGAGATACTCAGATTGTTGTGTGCAAACCATACACTCAGAGATCTTTTTTTTACAACTCAGATTCTGATTCAGTAGCGCTGGGTGGGACCCGAGATTGCATTTCTGACAGGCTCCAAGGTGAGGCTGATGATCCCGGGGACCACCCTGGGAGTGGTGTGGCATTCTAGGTCCCCTGCTCAGTAGCACTCAGCGGTGGGTAGCTGTCTCCAGAAACTGGTCCCATGTTTCCTTCTTCATGTCATAAAGGACCACGAGGCCAGATTAAGTGCATGGTGTATGTTGCTTTCACACCAAGAGATTCCAGGGCGTGAAGGGGTAACTCTGTTAACACATCCTCATCATAGCCATGCAATTAAATGGACTGATTTTATTTTGCTGTCACATTTCACCTCAAAGCATCTTCCCTTTTGTCCTTTAATACTAGGGACAAAAGCAACCATGCTTCTTAGTGACTCCCTTTCTCTCTCCCGCCTCCTCTCTCGAAATTATAAAAAAAAAAAAAAAAACAATTAATGCATCCTGACCCTTGGAAATGCCTCCCAGCCCTTTAAACAAAATGCAGGTTTTGGTGCCTGCCTGACGATTAGTTTTAGTTAATTGAAAATTATAGGATTGACCCAAGAGGAAAATTTTGTTTGCACTCCAATCACTTTTACAAATTAAGGAAAATTACCACAATTTTGTTTAGCTAAGGTTTCACACTGAGTTCAAGAAATTAGCTCAGCCATCCCAACCAAGTCAGCACTTTGTCTGTGAGCACTTGAAAAAATAATAGTCTATCTGGAGTTTTGTGGTGTATACAAACGAAGCTTCCAGAAAGCTATGATGCTTTATAGAAGTAGGCCAAGTGGTTTTAATTAGGCTCATTGGTTCAGCGTAAGTTTTGAAGAACAATGTAACTAGCAGATTAGCTGTTTCTTTTAAAGCTAGGATTTCTTGCCATTCATTTTTCCCATGAGAACTTCCACATAGCGCAATTTTTTTTTTTTTACAAGCCTCATTATGGGCCTGCAGGAAAAGGACCAATTGAAACTTTTGATACTGTAACATTCCCCACCATCATTCCAATGGATGGGAGTTTTCACAATGTTCTTCACTGAACTTGGTGTTCTGGAACATATTACAAAACCGCAGAGGCCAAATGTTTTCTCTGAGGAGTTTGGACTCTGTTTTTGGCCGAAAACGTTTAGGCCTCGCTGGCTGCTTATTTACTCTGCCATTAAGAACAAGAAAAGGAGAAGAAAAAGAAGAAGAAAGTGCGCCTGTGGTGGGCGGAACCAGAGGCAGTCAGGCATGATTCCGCTTTGGTGACAACGTCCCTCCCATTAATGGTTCCATTTTGTGGTCAGGTCTCATTTAGAAGAAATTATTTTTAATCAGTGTTCAACAAAATATCCCCTTGAGCCACCTGGCCATAAAAGTTTAAAAAGAAAATCATCCCCATTAAAATTAAGTTCTCAACAATAAATAGCTGGGGGAACCCGTCATTATTGAGAATGGTTTTTAACTATTAAAAAAAATTGCCATCAATTTAAAAAATCACATCTTGGAAAACCTGTATCAGACAGGAATTAAGATGAAAGATGAAAGCGGCCGATTTGTGAGTCTAGCAAAGGACCAGAGGATGAGAGAGAAAAATCCTGGGTGTGCGTGCACGTGTGTGGGTATGTGGGAAATTTAACGCAGGAAAAGATGCTTCTGCTGACCTTGCCTCCAACTGTGGGCAACAGACAAGAAGATGTAGTTTTCTTAAGCATTCTAGGGGAGAGTCTCACCTCTCCCTGTGTTGAAAAAATAAACTTTTGGAGAAATTGGTACACAAACCTCCCCATTGATTTAGGAGGCTGTTTATAGCCACTGTGACATTACATCATTTCTGACAAAAGGGAATCTCTCTTAATCGGTGAACTACACGTGGGCCGGTTGTTCGTTATCATTAATGCCCCTAGCAAGGGTCAAGTGTTCGTGGCTCGCCTCTGTGGATCGCTCAGTTTACCTCTCTGCCTGTCACCCCCTTTCTAGCGAAGGCACAGAGGTGGGTCCTGGAACCTCTCGGTCTGTACATCCGAGCAATCGCTCAGGTCATTGTAAACATGCAGCCCTCTTCCGTCCGCTTGCAGAAGCTCACGTTTCATTTTCTTTAATACCCACAGCGTTTCAAGATGTGAGGCTTGGTTTTCTGCAGGGGGTGAGCCAACTCTTGTTTCATAGTGGAATATCACTTGGAATATTTCCCTTTAAAGAAAGAAAATGTCCTACGACTGAAAAGCACTGTTGTTGTTTTCTGAGCGTGTGTGAGAGAGTTTGGGTGTGTGTACGTGGCAGTCTCTAAAAACCTATAATCGATGAAAAAAAAAAAACCCACACAGCTGAGCCAGAAACAGCCTGGCTTAATCTATGCAAATAAAGGCAGACTTTGCGGGGAGGGAGGAAAGAATTTGGCTAAACACAGATTGCCTGCAAGCTGGCTCCACTTGTTGGAACGTGGGCAGGCTCTCCATCTTTGGTGCTTCAGACCAGGGACACGTGAGGAATTCTTAGCTGCCAGCTGTGCGCTTCGCCCGTGTCTGCCCAGTGAATCCCAGCTTGATCGGGACAGACAGGCTCAGTAGCGCTCCCCAGATCTGAGTTATCCTGGCCAGGTCTTCTTAAGTAAATGCAGGGCAAGGCTGACTTTACATTTTGAGTAACGTTTTCTCACAGAAGGAAACAAAAACTCTTCCTCACGACAGGGCTGTTTTCCAAGCCCTCAGTCCAGTGGGAAGTCAATCCCCACGCGCCTCCGCTGCCGTGGACCTCGGTGGTCCTCTTAGCTTGCTTTCCTGCTGTTGTTACATCTTTCAGTAACCTTGGGAGCTGATCAGAAGACTCTCAGAAGCCTTTAGCTGCTTCTTCAAGGTTCTTAGAATTGGTTTTTCCCCGATAAGAGGTAGCGAATCCAGATGTACTTTTTAACTTTTATTCCAGTTATTTCTCCGTCGGAGGGATACTGTCTTTGGGGAAAACAAGACGGGGGAAATGGGCCACCAGGACATTGGACCAGGTCAGGTGTGCACTGGAGTCCTATACTGCCTGCTCCCCCAAAGCTGGTGGAAGCCCCCGGGAACGATCATCAGGTCCGTCAGGCTGAGGACATTTCTACTGCTCGGTTCTCCTATTCTGAACATTTTCCACAAACTTCCTGTCCCTGTGGAAGGACTGAACATAATCCTTGGATGTTAGACTTAGAATTAACTTTGAAATAAAAATTCTCCCCTGTTTGTACCCCATGCCCACAATGACTTTGCATGTAGGAGGAACCATGCTGGCTGGATATTTTCTGTGAAACTTGATGACATGTAGCATGTCTTTCAAGTTTTCTTATTTTCCTCCCCATTTCTCTTGTGTTCACCCTCTGTCCCCCTCTCCCTTCTTCCTTCTTCCTTCCTCCCTCTTTTCTTTCCTTCCCCCCAGCCTTTCCTCCCTCACTTCCAAGGAGACAATGGAGCATAGTTGTTGAATCCTTGGATTCAAGAGATGATGGGTGTAATTTAAACTCTCATCTCTACCACTTATCAGAGAGGTTGTCTTGAGGGCATTGGATGATGGCTGTGAACCACAGTCACCTCATCTTTACAAGGGACTAATAACTTGCTGGGTTGTTCTGAGTACAAATGTCTGGAAAGCACGTAGGGTGAGCTAGCGTGAGCACTTAGCCATATGTCGGCGGTTTCCATTAATAACGGATGACCATTATTTTTCATTCATTCACTTGTTGCTGAGTCCCTACCGTGGTGTAAATATTTCACGTGTATCGTCTCCATCATCTTCCTAGAGGTCTAAGGGATGTCTTTTAGGAATTTTAGAAACAAAACTATAGTGATCAGTAAATTAAACAAGCAACGCCAATCAACCACACATACAAAAAAGTACAGTATAAATAAAGCAGCAGGAAAAAGAGATTTATAAATGTGAAGATAACAGTTTCGATAAAACAAATAGCTTTCTCAGAAATAGCCTCAAATAATAAATATTTTAAGAAGGCAGCCCTGATTTATAAAGTCCTCAGCTGCTGATTTTTCAGGAACAAGAATGCCTGTTTTCTTATTGCCATCCCAAATTCCGAGCCCTCCTCTGGAGGCCGTAGGAACAGGGGTACAGTCTGTCGCCAGCCCCCTTCAAAGGTGTTTAGGTTATAACCAGCTTCGACTTCAGGTTTAAGAGGTTTCAGGCCAGAAAGCTCTGTTTTTAGTTCTTGGAAACCTCGCGCACAAATGAAGGCTGCCACCTCGGGGATAAACAAAGTCGTAAGTTTCAGGGGAGAAGTGCAGAGTTTGCACCTAATGAATCTGTTTTTAGCCTCTTCTTACATGGATCCATTGCCAGGTGAAGCTTCCGAAA